GGCATCGTCTTCCCGCCAGCCCTGCCTCAGCTTTCCCCCGCTCTCTACGGCTCAGGGCTTCTCCCTGGCCAAGTGCTTGTGCCAGCGGAGCCCTACTAATTTCTGGCGTGGGACTGCAGCTATTGATTGATGACTAACACGGATCCTGCCTGGCTCTGCACTGCGAGTCTCCTTTCATTCACTGAGCTTGCTACTGTAAATATGTGCGTGGGGAAATGTTTCCTTTTCTTAATTTTAGTTGTCATTTATCTTGGAACAGCAGTAGAAAGAAGGACAACGGCTCTTTTCTTACTCAGCCTGAGAGGAGAAGTTAGGGACTTTGGTGGCACCATATTAATCACTGAATACCCTCAGTGTCACACAAGCTGGTCTATAATTTTCACAGGCCATTTTTTCCCGTGGCTCTTTTAAGGCCTTGCTTCCCTTGCCAGTGCTTTGGGCGTCCTAATTAGTTAAGGATATGAAACATTTCCTGTTTGAAACTGGAAATAACGAGTGAGACACTTTCCTGGGCTGGGATACTGGAAGCGTCTTCAGGGTCCTAGGCTTTTAGAGGAAATACCATGAATGAAATAAATCTCAGGTGTGCCTTTAGCTCCTAGATGCTCTGGAAAGGCCACTTACTGCTTCAGCTGATAAGGGGACCAATAAAAGGAAAGTTGGACCTACCAGCCTTCCTGAGCCTTCCCTTCCTAATTTTACAAATCGTCTGCTGAAAGGTGTCAGGATTGCATGGGACAGGCAAGACATGAATGAGGTTTAGAAGGGTTTCTGGATCTCAGGGACAAAACGTAGCCTGAGACCCAGCTGAAAAGCTCCTTTTTCTGCTCCAGCACCAATAGGTAAAAGGTGCTAGTTCCCTCCTCTCCTGCTCAGTTTAATTGCTATATGGCATCACTGCAGCATGGTGCAGAAGGCCTGGAAATGAGAACATTGGAACAAATGTTCGGGCACTGAAAGCACTGATAGTCCACTGAGATGCATTGTTCCCTCCACTGAAGCCCATCTCGGTTCTGTCACACATATTGATTCCCTTGACAAATGTTGAGCTAATGGCTGACTTGGAAGGCGCTGGATCCGTGGGTTTCCAGTTCATTGGGCTGTGAAACATGGAATGACAGTTTTGGTGATCTCACACCTGACTCGATCCAAGGGAAACTAGAAGCTTGTCATGGAAACTTAACGAGTATTTGAAATCCGTTGCTTAATGGAGAAACACTGGGTAACTTCTCTTCGTTGAGCGATCGTGTTTAACCACAGCCAGGCTTTGCTGGCTAATAGCTATTGTTCTCACCAGGAAAAACAGCCTGCAGGGCTCAATATAAATATATGACTCTGGAGAAATCACTGGCCGCAAGCCAGCCTTCTAGCTGGTCCTGTCCTAGCCTCTGCAGTGTTCCCCATCTACTGGAAAAGCCTCTGTATTGCGTATGTTCAGATTAAAACTGAAACCCTGATGGTCTACATAATGTAGCATTAAATCTTTATGCAGAAAATGAATTTACTTCCGTTCTTTATTCAGAAAGATTCAGTGTGAAAATGCTAGACAGTATGAGAGAGTGGATTACCAGGTGGGCAAACAGTTTTGCCCTGGCTGGGAAGTTCTCTGCATAGACCACTACCAGCAAGCTAAAAAGGAACCGGCCCACATTTCTTCTTGCCTGTCTAGTCCCATCTCGGTCCCCCTTGCAGAAGGCAACCCTAACTTCTGCAACAGATGCTGTACCTATATCATGATCACATCGGAAACAAGCCCTTTGGATAAGCAATCACAGTATTTGCCTAATGTACAGAGGAATATTGCATAGTTCTCCATCTTACTGTTCAGAAAGGATGCAGGGTAAGAAAGCCTTTCAGTGAATGGCTACTCAGGAGCACAAGTACTGATTTCATCCCAGCTGGAAAGATGAGTTAAGGACTGAGCCTCAGTAAGCTTTCCATCCTCTCGGGGGAGAGAAACAGGAATTTCCCAATGTGAGTCACAGTGTGTATGTGTCCAAGTCACCATCCAGAGGTGCCCATCTCTGCACGGACTATAGAGGACACTTCTGGTGAGCCAGGTCTGAATAGGTGCCTGGGCGACCTGCGCAAAGCCAGAAGGGATGATATGGGACAGCCCTAGGATTGGCAGGGATCACCTCTCAGGAGGCGTAGGATGCAGGTGTAGGACTGATGTAGGGTTCCTCGCCTACCAACTGCCTTTCATTCAGAAAAGACATACAGGTTTTAAGGGTCCTTGAACCATCCCTTGTACACAGAGAAGTGACAAAGACTTCCCAAGTGCTGGAGAAATGGGAGGCTTTTACTGGAAAAGAAAAAAAAAAAAAAAATCCCTCTCTGCCTGAGAGTTTTGCAGGCAGAGCTGTTTACAGTAACTGATAGATTTTTCATCTGGCCAGCGTGACTAACTAACCATGATCCGAAAAGTGCCCAGAAGAGCGCTAAGAAAAGCGCACATTTGGAGTTGAACTTCCAAAAAAAAAAAAAAAAAAAAAAAAAATCCCTCTCTGCCTGAGAGTTTTGCAGGCAGAGCTGTTTACAGTAACTGATAGATTTTTCATCTGGCCAGCGTGACTAACTAACCATGATCCGAAAAGTGCCCAGAAGAGCGCTAAGAAAAGCGCACATTTGGAGTTGAACTTCCTCTTCTTCCCAGACTCAGCGGTTAGGCATTCTGCACAGAAAAAACTTTGAATGCAGCTTTAAAAAATATCTAGACACAGTTCCTTCTGGGGAACCGGCTTCCAGATGATACCCCAGGATTCTCATAGATTTCCATGGGAGATTTTTTGTATTTGTAGTGACCTTTCAGCTACTCAGACAGCATCAACTGTGAGTTGAAATTTAATCTGTGTACTAATTACTGACACAGACATACCTCCTGCCTTGTGGACTCCTTTGGTATTAAAGCAT